TACAGACATATTTCGAATAAACCTCACACCCTCACACACAGAGACCATATCGACATAAAAATACAAAAAAAAAATCAAGAACAAAGAAGGCACAAACAGCAATCAGTTTTCCTATTTTTCGAAACACGGAATACACGAGAAACAAAACCTAAATTGATGTCATATTAATCATTAATCATTTATTCGTTCATCTGAACACCAGAATCGACAGAAGAATCAAACATTGAACTCCTAAACAGAGTTGAAAATTGAAGCCCTAACTTTCAATGTGATGGAAAAGAACAAAATCTAACAGAAATCAAACTTACCTCGAGCGATTTCGAACGGAGAATGAGAAGATAAATGGAGAAGACGATGAAACTAGATCGATTTCAAACAAAGAAGCAGAAGACGAACAGCGTAATTATGACCCACCCCTTCACAGTACTCAACTAACCCACTTTTAGCATTGATGATGTGTCAGACGCAGGTGAAATGACCAAAATGCCATTAAATGTAACAAATGAACATTTACATAATTCCCGCCCGAGGTAGCTTCAGTGCACCACAAAACCAATTTAGTGCACATCAAGTTGTACCTAACCAATCAGTACATTCCATTACTAACCTCAGAAAACATATGTCGTTATCGTGAATATTCTTTCTGCACAAGCCTAAAAAATCTGAAAAGTTTTATTAATATTTTCTTTAGAATTTTCAAGACTTTGGAAGAGGTAGTTATTTATTTTTTATGCTTTCTCCTTTTGCTTAATAATCTTGCTTGATGTTTTTATTTGGTACTCGTTTGGTTTATTTTTGTTACAGTGGGAGTAGCAATAACGTTTATTATTTTGTTTTAAACCCATTTGTTCATTCCTCCCGCACTGTTCGTTTTGAATTTCTGGTCGTTCTCGAGCGAGGTGATATGATTCTCGACCGAGAATCACGTTTTGGTTGAACCTCGGGCGAGGTACTAAAATCACCTCAGGCGTGGCTGCGTATTGAACTCCACCTCGGGCGGGAAAATATATTTCCCGCCGAGGTTGAAGTTTATTTTATATATTCTTCCCATCTCTAATTGTTTTTCAATTATGGTTTGCAATGCAGAACAAAATGGTTCGCCTTTTTGTGATCTATGGGGTCAGTGGAATCAGACAAGCACTGTATACGAAGGTGGAGTTATGGGTGGGTTAAATGTTGACGAAGGAAAAACATATAGAGACCTTGTAAGTGCGATCTTTAGGATGACTAGAATAAATCCTGATCTTTTCAATATTGTTCTACAATGTATCTACAAATTTGAGTACCAAGTGCCGAATTTTTACATATTTGATGATACTAGCCTTGGTTTTTACCTTATGGGCCCTCCACATCCCTTTCAAGTGCCTTTGTATGTATCTATTGTACCAAAGGAAAGGCAAGGTAGTGGTAGTAACTCACGAGATGGTACATTATATCCCCAAACCGAAACATTGGCTTCATTTCCATTCCAAGTAGAAAAAAATGTTCCTTCTCCTATCCCACAAAATCGCATGCACTCACCTATAGATACTGTCAACCCGCCATGTTCTGTACAATTTATGACTCCATTGACGGACAATATTGTCCCTTGCAATTTAGGTGACGATGAACAAGAACACTTCGGGCAGTGGGATGATGTTGGAGGTGATGAGGACCATGAGTATGAGAATGAGGATGATGGCTACACAGGAACTGAGAATGAGTATGAGAACGAGGATGATGAAGCTGAGGACCCAGTTTGGGGCGGTGATCCATCCTCAAGAACACCTGTTGTGGAAGTACAGTCTGTAAGTAGGAATGCCCCTTGTGTAACTACTAATGGTCAACATGCATCCTTAGAACAGATGGATACAATTGGTAATGAGGATGGTTCTGTTCACGACATTGCAGTTGGCAGTGTTTTTCGGTCTAAAGATGAATTACGATTTAAATTGGCTGTTTTTGCTATCACCAAGAATTTTGAGTACAAGGTTAAGAAATCTACCACAAAGCTATTATCTGTTGCATGCACGGAAAATGGGTGCAAATGGGCCCTATGTGCAAGAAGAATCAAAGGTTCGGATACCTTTCTCATCTCAACGTTTTCTGAGAATCACAGTTGCGAACGACCGACACTGGCACATGATCATCGACAATCTGGTAGTTAGGTGGTGGGTCAGTTGATAAAGTGAAACTTTGATGAGGTCAGCCGTCGTTACAGGCCTAAATATATTGTGAATGATATGCGAAAGAATTACGGTGCCAATGTTCGATATGAAAAGGCATGGCGAGCGAAAGAAGTCGCACTGGGCCTATTGATGGGATCGCCTAGAGAGTCGTACTCTACTTTACATAAGTATGGAGAGGCTCTGAAGGCCGTGAATGAAGGAACAGTTTTCCACATGAAATTAGAGGACGACACATTCTTCAAGTACGTATTCATGGCCTTAGGATGCTCGATTAGGGGTTTTGGAAGTTGCATACGACCTATACTTGTGGTTGACGGAGCACATTTGAAGGGGAAGTACAAAGGAGTACTACTTACTGCATCCTCAATAGATGGCAACAACCAAATTTACCCTCTTGCATTCGGTGTTGTCGATAAAGAGTGTGATGATTCATGGACTTGGTTTATCGAGCGGGTTAAGATTTGTATAGGTGACATAAATGGTTTGGTTTTTGTATCTGACCGGCATCAAAGTATCACGAACTCCGTGGCAACGGTGTTTCCTAATGCAGCGCACGTCACATGTATGCATCATTTAACGATGAAATTGAATGAGAAGTTTAGAAACGAGGGAATGCAAATAATTTTCGCTAAAGCAGCAAAGGCGTTCAAGGTATCAAAGTTTCGATACTATTGGGGCCAACTAGCCGGATTCCCAAGAGTCCAGAAATACTTGGAAGACATCGGATTCGACAAGTGGGCTCGTGCATATCAACCTTGAATGAGGTATAACCAAATGACCTCGAATCTTGCTGAGTCCATGAATGCAGTACTTGTTCATGCTCGTGCTTTGCCAATAACAACTCTATTTGCAAATTGCCGAGCTCTACTACAACAATCATTTTATGAGAGGCAGACGGCTGCCTCTAGTCGAGGAACAGTTCTTACTGAATATGCAGAAATTATTCTTAAAAAAGAGGCAGAACGAGCTCGATATCATCATGTCAGGCCAATTGATCGGTTCGAATTCAAAGTGCATGATGGTACATCCAAGGTAAGTGTCAACCTGAATAGCAAGACCTGCACGTGTAAACAATTTGACTATTTCGAGATTCCATGCTCTCATGCCATTGCTGGGGCGGTTTTTCGAAACATTAGCGTGCATTCATTATGTTCTGATAGGTACCAAATCGAAACCCTCATACTTGGTTACGCCGAACCCGTGTACCCGCTCGGAGATGAAGAAGATTGGATTTTACCGGATGACTACGTGCCAAAGACGATTAAGCCACCAAAATTTGTTCCTTGTGTTGGACGTCACCAAACTACTAGAATACCATCAGCCGGGGAAGTCCGACAGGTACACAAATGCGGGCGATGTGGAAACGTTGGACACAACCGCAGGACGTGTCGGCAACCTCTCCGAATAGAATGATATGGTTGTTATTATAGTCGGAACTGTGTGCTATGTAAATACTACTACATTATGGTTTTGCCGGCGTTAAAATGATGTATTTTGTAGGTTCATTTCAGTTTGCACAGGAAGTAGACTAAGTCAAGAATAATTCTTTTAAGGTTCTGTCATGTTCTGTTAAAATTCTCGATTCTTTCTCGGCTGAGGTGAAGCCCTAGGTAAGCTCATTGGCAGGTTCTGTCAAAATTCCCGGTCATATCTTGGGCTAGGTGACACCTGGGGTTGGATATTTTTAAGGTTCTGTCAAATTTCTCGAGCGCGATCTCGGGCGAGGTCGAACCCGAGGTTGGCACATTTTTGTTGATTCCATAATTTCCGGTCGAGTTATACTGGACCCCGGCCCTAAAATTCAATGAGCTATGAAAGTAGAGATTAAAATGAATAATATATTGAAAAATAGTTCGTATACTCTGTCACCAAATAGAGATAATAGATACTACGTTGAAAAAGATTTTGTACAAATTATCACCAAACTGCCTTATTAGACCATAGCTGAAAGGCAAATTGCCTCCTAAAGTATGGCATATTGTTTTGCCTCAATGTTTCTAAAGAAGTCCCCGTTACATCATATTAAAAATACTTAACACAAAAAATGCCGCAGTCTCCACTACCAAACTGTTGCGGTGCCGACATAACCCTACGAATTCGCCACGGTGTCATTGGTAGGTTTGGACGTACCGCGATGACCTGAGATTTATGCAATAACGATGGGATGACTGTGCGCATGACTTCCAGTTGCTCCTCCAATGATGCATCTGAGGTAATTGCCCCCAGGGAGTCCCAAACAACGATCTCACCTTCAACGAAGTCTATGCATATCATAACCCAATGGTTGCCATTGACATTTAAGGGTAAATAGACAGCCTCCACCTCACGCCAGTTGAGCGGGTAGTTCGAATGACTTCCGTCGATGTATGCCATGACGGTACTCTCCCGCGCATCCCAGTCATACTCCTTCGCCACCTATGCTGGAGTGGCATTCTTTGATTTCACCAGCTCATATAGACCATCAGTTCGACGGAAAAAGTTTTGTACATTTAATATGGATGTTGTTAGGCATGGATAAGAAATAGAGAACAAAAAATGGAGTAACAGACAATTACGTGGGACGTACCGACAACACAGTGTCTCCAATGGTGAATTGGTGAGAACATAAGTCAGGACGTTCTTCTAGCTTCTTCCGCACGAACATGACTAGTGAATCAACGACCTGCAAGTATCACCGTCATATTAAAAGTAATAGACACAAAACATTTAGTAATTCCCAGCCTCCACCATTCAAAGCCTATGTACCTCATTTGTACACCAGTTGTTCGGCCTAAGTAGATCACGAAACCATTGCTTCTTTCTGTACGCATATGGTGTCCTTCGGGACGAACGATTTGATTCGTAGTCTTCAATCCACTTTTCAAATTTGACCTCCTCTACAGCTGGGAGATCTGGGAGTGGATTGTGCACGATCACCCTCTTTCGCTTCCCGCCCACTTTAACTTCGTACGACCCTCCAAGTCTCCATGGCTTTTTCTTTTCCCGTTCTCCACGACGAGGGGGTGGATGCGTGACTGGCTGAGATAACACACGTACGTCGCTGTCATCCACACGTGTCTGGCCTTGTGATTGTGTTTCCTCGGACGCTTGTGATTGGGATACGATATCTGGGTCAGTGTCGGTATCTGATAAATCCTGTAGAATCTTGACCTGAAAAGATGTTATCATTAGAACAACGTCAAAGTAACCCCAACCAAAATAAGTTAGTGCGCAGCAATTGAGATACCTGTGTCGGTGACTGGTACAGATCGGCATCAATGTCAACATCTCCCATGTGTTTCGATGTACCAATGTCGATACTCTGGACGTCCTTGGGATGATCAGCAGGCGTTCCTTGAAGCACATATTCTACCTCAGGTTCCATGGTTTTTTCCTTACCAACCTTGACCGTGTCAACCGCAACAGTGTCGACCTCTGCTGCCTCGGGGTCCACATCTTCGTTCTGGACATTTTGGACAACTGCGTCTTCATGACCATCGCCCACTGCATTCCCATGTCCATTGCCCGCTGCATCCCCATTCCATCGCCTTCGGGATGACTGTTTGTTGCCCCCTCATGAGTACGCCTTCCATCGCCAGCACTTCCTGACCCACCAGCATCGTCACCTCCTCTGCCTATTCGCATATCGGCTGGGTCGACTGGTTGACCCTGTACATAAAATGAAATATTTACCAACTTTGATAGAGAAAACATTCCATAATACAAACTTAATGAAGGAAACACTTACCCTTGCAAGTCGCCGCAAATACTTGCGTATGGCTTTCAGCTCACCCTCTACGCCTTCAAGTTTCTTATCCATAGCGGCTACACGCGTGTCCAACACTTTAATTCTTTTCAACACTTTCTTGTTAACCTTCTTCTTTTTTTCTTTGTTCTATATCGCCTTTCCATCCTGGTTACGATCGACCTCGGCAGTGGTAGGAGCACCAACATTGTTCGTTGGACGGTCCGTGTTTCTATCCTCACCCTCGAATGCAGTCTTTGGACGTTGACGGATTTCCTCATCAGCTTCTAGTTCATCTGATTCTGGTGGTTCGATTGCCCTATTCAAAAACCTCAACTCCGATTCAGTCGGTTCTAAGCCCTTAATTCTAGCATGCACGGAAAATGATATCAATACTACATAGTTTGAAATAAAGTCATAAAAAAGGGTTAGACTTACTGTTGTAGACTGGAAGATCTCCCTCTCCAGCACGAGCCATCCAGTCGAGTGACCGCACCTCCACCGGAGCATGCGGGGTACCAAACTATCACTTATCTTCCTGGCAACTCGTCCYRTCATGGAAGATATTRTCTCATACRCCCACACCTGCACAAATTACAAATAATGTTAGTAACGATTAGTATGTCCAAATTAAATTAAAAATTTATATATATTTATTTACCTGAAACACCCACGGGAAACCATACAAACTGTACGATTTCCTCAACGCCCCCTCAAGTGTCTTCTTCGCAAGTGCTCGCTCTAGACTCCTCATAGTCTTCTCAAATGATAGTTGCCCCCAGTCATGGTTGCAGCACACTTCCCAGTCATCTACTATTCCAAGCAGACTACTGTCGTACTTCACGCTTCTTTCCCGCCCGTAAAGTACAAATTCAACAAAGTATACAATTGAGACCTTCACCGCATCCCAATCATCCTCAAAACGAAGCACTTCATACTTCTTCTCAAACTCAGCCAAGGTTA